CACTGCACATCACTCTGAACACACCATCCCCACTGTCAAATATGGTGGTGGCAGCATCATGCTCTGGGGGTGCTTCTCTTCAGCAGGGACAGGGAAGCTGGTCAGAGTTGATGGGACGGTGGATGGAGCCAAATACAGAGCAATCTTGGAAGAAAACCTCTTGGAGTCTGCAAAAGACTTGAGACTGGGGCGGAGGTTCACCTTCCAGCAGGACAACGACCTTAAACATAAAGCCAGAGCAACAATGGAACGGTTTAAAACAAAACATGTCCATGTGTTAGAATGGCCCAGTCAAAGTCCAGATCTAAATCCAATCGAGAATCTGTGGCAAGATCTGAAAACCGCTGTTCACAAATGCTGTCCATCTAATCTGACTGAGCTGGAGCTGTTTTGCAAAGAAGAATGGGCAAGGATTTCAGTCTGTAGATGTGCAAAGCTGGTAGAGACAGACCCTAAAAGACTGGCAGCTGTAATTGCAGCAAAAGGTGGTTCTACAAAGTATTGACTCAGGGGGCTGAATAATTACACACACACCCCACTTTGCAGTTTATTTGTAAAAAATGTTTGGAATCATGTATGATTTTTGTTCCACTTCTCACGTGTACACCACTTTGTATTGGTCTTTCACGTGGAATTCCAATAAAACTGATTCATGTTTGTGGCTTTAATGTGACAAAATGTGGAAAAGTTCAAGGGGACCAAATACTTTTGCAAGCCACTGTAAAATGGCGGAGTCTCCCGAGTCTGTAAAAGTTAAAAAGTCATTAGAAACTTTTAAAAAAATTAAAAGGTGCACAGTGGCTGTGGTTTCATGGTCAGAGTGAGGTACACTACATATTGCAGAGATTATTTTGAAGTTAAGCTGATGATGCTTAGATTAATTCACTGCAATCTACCTTCAGTCTGTTTAATTTTCTACCTAAGTGATTCAAGCTGAGTATATTATTTAGAACTAAAATTTCAACCAAAGTAAAGTTAGCATTCTCATTTATTGTCATTATTAAATTAACATAACAGTAGTAGAAACATCTTCCAAAGATATACTTTTTACTTTCTTACTTTGCGCATGTTTCATGTTTCAGTCTATACTTTTTCATTGTTAGTTGAGTTAAGAAGGTGAATCCGTACTTCAACTTTTACAACAATCAGTACTTGTACTTAAGCACAGAATGTCTGTACTTTTGTCACCTCTGTGGCAAAAGACAATACACTTCCAGGGAGGAGGAAGTCTTAAGCAGCATACCATAACTGTTAGAAGATAATCACACGGATGACTTCATGTTCATAAATTCAACCTGAGATTTTATCACTTTTGCCACTGTTAACAGCCTTAGAAACAAATAACACAAACATGTGCGTGTACTGGAGCACACAACTGATGCTTTCTGCTACTTAAATAGCGCTACACCTCTAGGTATAGTCACATTCAATAAGTACTCTAGACTATGAGGCCTCCCCAAACCAGTTATAGGTCACAGCCCAGTACTCAGACAACCAATTCACAATATTAACACACAAAGGGAAGGGGTGGTGAGCTCTGTGCTCATGTGGTCTGTGCTTATGTGCTTCAGGACTGGTGCCATAACAGAATTACACAGTCACTGCTCACTACACTTAGGTGCCATGTCCACTTGGTGCTGGCCTATCTATCTGCCTCGCAAGCTAACGGTAGCCAATGTTACCACTGAACAACCTCACCAACCACAAAGGCCAGAGCTATATCCTGGACAGCAGCCTCAAACTAGCAGAGGAGCTCATACCTTCTTTGCTCAGTTTGAGACCACCCCTCCCCCACTTCCCCTGCCACCCACCTCACCCAGCACACACCCTTCTCCCTCCAGGAACACGAGGTCATGAGGAGGCTGAGAGCAGTGAACCCCAGGCGACCTGCTGGCCCCGACAGCATCCCAGGGGCTGTGGTTAAAGTTGGTTGAACGAACTGTCAGGGATCCTCATCAGGCTATTCAACCTCTCCCTGACTCATGCCACTGTTCCCAACTGTCTGAAGGCCTCCACTATCATACCCATCCTCAGAAGACTGGTATAGACAGCCTCAAAGACTTCATGGAGGCTGTCTATGAGCCTGAGCCATCTGGAGAACAGGAAGGTGGACTAAAGCTTCAAAACCATAATCCCAGAAATCCTCACCACCAAAGTGGACTATTTTCAGATCCCCCACTTTCTCACCAACTGGCATCAGTCAGTCCGACTTGGCCCCACCTCTCCCCCTCACTGTCACTGAGCACCACGGCTCCCCACAGGGCTGCGTTCTCAGCCCCCTTACTGTACACTCTCTACAGATACGAGTGTAAACCAACCCACCCAACCAAACATCATCATCAAGCATGCCAATGACACCACTGTGATATAGATCAGACAGTGTACGGGGCAGAGGTAGAGAACTGGTGCTGAGGAAATAACCTGAAGTTGAACATTCTTAAAACAGGCCCAGGGTAATTAAATCATTGGCTGCCCACACCCCAACCCTGCCCAACCACCTCACTAATCTGAGCCATGCTCTGAGTAACCCCCGCAACACTCAGGCCACTCATACATGGACTCTATTCAGATCAAGTCTTTACTTTGCATTAGTTCCAAGCACTTTGCAACTTGTTCTCTGTGTGCCTATTTTTGTATATATTTATCCTGTTTGCTATTTATTCCTGTCTACTATTTATATTTTCATCATCATCATCATCGTTTATTTATATAGCACTTTAAAAACACACAAGGCTGACCAAAGTGCTGAACAATAGAAACATAATAGATACCATAAGAATAATAAATACGATCAAATAAATAATATTTTATTGCACCACAGTTGGTGTGAAGCACCCAAAATTACATTATACATGTAAAATGACAATAAGCAGCAATATTCTGTTCAATCCTTTTCTAAAGGCAAGTCAAAAGAAATAACTAACCAAAATAAGTATACACAAGATGTGACCCCAAGAATACCAGGTGCAGCCTAACAAAGCAGTACAAACAAGCATTTGAAAACTTACTGGACCCCGATTTTTGTGCAGACAAGCTCCCATTCGATGCAACCCGCTTTAAAAGAATAACAAAAACAGGGAGACCACAACTAATCTTAGGAGGCAGTGGAGTGGTTTAATGAAATAAAGTAGTGAAACCAGAGATTTGTATGGGTAGTTATCAGGACATCAGTGTGTATACAGTGTGTGTGTGAGTGCAAAGACAGCGTATAAGTGTGTGCAGGTGAAAACAAAAGCGAAACCAAATGGCCAGGCGGCCAGCCAGCTAGTCAGTCAGGCTTCTGGAGGAGGAAACATACAGGCAACAAGGATCACAAGGTCAGTCCCATCACATTCCTTTCACATTTAAACCCATTTGGACCATTATATGGACCATGAGTTTGTTTGTTTGTTTGCAGCCTCTGTGAACCAGCATTGTGCACTTTAAATCAAACAGTCAATATGTGGCGTAAGTACAGATTTTTGAGGGGGTTAAACAAAAAAAATATATTGAACTAAGCTCCCCCTGGAAACACACATTGTTTATAGACCGAAAAGCAAACTAAAATTATTATAACTATCAGGATTGTTTTTAGTGTCAGGATGGAAATCACTTGCAGCCAACGACATCGACCATAGACATTACTAAATATCGTTTCCTTCCTTGATCTGCTAGTCCTTTACTGCAGCAGTTCAGCTGCTGCTTTTTTGTGTGTCTCTCTGTGTTCAGTTTTGTAGTTAATAACTGAAAAGTTTCCTCTGTTACGTCAAGTTCAGGTGACTGAATGATCTATTGAAGAATATCCATTTTTCTTCCTTGAATAAACTGTAGCGATGCCTCTTTGGACTTCAAAATTGAACAACTGCTCAATACAAGTCCAAAAGTTGGAATCAGCTCCAGATCTTCCATCTGCTTAGTTTTTCAGGAATTAACAAATAAGGAAACACACCCTGTGCATTATATGTATGCCTCTAAAAATGGCTCTGATGGACAGGGGGTAAATTACAAAATCATGCTGGTGTCAAAATATTTACAAACTGTAAATATGTCTGTTTACAGTCTGACTGTAGGTCCTTAAATCCAAATTAATGAATGCTCATTCCAAAAAGAGTTTTTATAAGTCTAGTGTACCAATGAAGCTTCACGACAAGAAAAAACATCAAAGCAGGAAGACGACAATGACACAGCCACCATAACCTTTGTAATGCACTTTAGATTTTGAAGATGTAACATACTCAGTGTAAGCTTGCCCAATTATTGACAAGTGAAATAAATGTTTTGAAATGTCTTGAAACAAAACAGCAACAGAGCAGTCTGTGCAGTCATCCAAATTTTTAATAAAGGCTGCGTTACTGTGGATGCAACCATTCCAATGCAACCACATGGGCTTCTTGTTGCATATTACTCTGCTGTAAAACGTTTGTTTGTAGAAAGGCTCTTGATATAATAGAGGCTTAAATAAAATATATCCAAATACCAGCCATTTTATGAACTGCATCTAATCAGAAATGGGAAATGAATGAGGTGGCTCAGGCCTGGTTTTAGGGGGTTTTCTGGCGTTTCCAGTATGCTAAAACTGGAAACAGTTTTTCTCCTCATATCCTGAAAGACTAATGAAAAGACAGGAAAGGATCAATCCCTTTCTATATGCCAAAACATTCATCAACAGAAATGTCAGTTACCAAATACATCCTATGTACAGTATGGAAAATGATGACTCAATATATGAATGATGGGAAGTCGTTCCCAGAATCTTACCGTGCTGCTCATTTATGAACTCCCATACACAACACTGCCCTCTATTTCCACTCTATGGTATTACACCACCTTAAACGCATTGTTCCATCAGATTGCCTGCAGTCTGATCAACACCAGTCCACCTTGATGATCTAAACTCAAGGCAAAAATTATGATGACTGCACAATTCAACTGTAAAGTGAGGTGGATTTTGGCTCAGATTAGGCTGGACACAAAAATCAAACAGGTTAAAAAAAAGAAAAAGAAAAAAAAAAGTAGAAATATATATTTAAAAAAAGCTTTATTGAACAGCTACCTTTTACAAACAAGACATCACTAAACTGTTTCCAGTTAGTGACAGCAGCACAAATCCACCAAAAATATCAGCAATGACAAACAACAGAAGACAAGAACACATGGTGGGAAAGCTTATAAAGAGCCAGAACAGAAATGTACTTCTGAATAATTTTTTTTGTTTTAATGTGGAGAGAGTTGGTCTATGTTGTCATGGATACGACTTGACAGATGGGTCTCCAAAATTTCCCCAAACAAGTTCCTTTTCAGTAAGTTGTAAGCCATGGGCAAAAGTTGCTTGATAACCTTGTGGAAGTACTGTAAGAGAGAGAGAGAAAATCAAAGAGAAATGATTTATATCCCCAAAAACCCAGTCCTTAAAAAGTTTTGAAAATTCAGTTCTTTGTATGGACCAAACCATTAGTTCCCAACTTATGTTTATTCTATTTAACTTAAATGTATGTGCAACATTAAACCACTAATAGTTCTAGTATAGCCACTGTTGTGTTTTGTTTTAAATATGTCAAAGAATTAAAACTATCCCATTTTAAATAAGAAATAAGTCGAAAAGAAAAGTTCTTTTTATTTCATAAGTCATCTCAGAAATCACATCAAATCCAAGAAAGATGATTGCTGAAGAAGCAGTGACTTAGTATACTCACATGAGATCCATAACAGAAGAGGTCTATTCCCAGTTCATAACCCATGCCATAATCGCACTCATCATTAGCAAACTGAACAAATGTTATCATTTCCTGGATTGGTCCAAAAGCTTTGACGCGTTCTTCATCAGTCCGTGCTTCAACAATGGCTTTACAAATTTTCTTGAGACCAGCTGGGACACAAGGGAAAAAACAAATTTGTTAAGGAGCGGAGACAAAAAAAAAAATCTCTGCAATCTCCAAAAGTTGATTCTGTTCATCTGGAGGTAGCGTTTTCAGTGGGAGAAACGTTTTGTCACTCATCCAAGTGACTTCTTCAGTCTCAGCTGACTGCAGGTTTCCCCAATCTTATAATCGTATGAGTTCCGGTCAATAGCATTGTCTCTTCACTTGCATCCCAGTCACGGAAGCGTTGGAGGTAGTTCGTAAGAGATTACAGGATGACCCCAACCTCAGCAACAGGACCACTCTCAGCACTAACCAAGTGTGTTTGCTGTTGGAACTGTATCTTCATTCCACCTATTTCACATACAAGGGTCAGTTCTACAGGCAGAAACATGGGTGTGCCATGGGCTCCCCAATTTCACCCATCGTGGCCAATTTGTACACGGAAGAAGTGGAAAAGAGGGCTTTGTTATCCTACCCTGGAACACCACCAAGTCATTGGTTCAGGTATGTGGATGACACCTGGACGAAAATCAAATCTCAGGACGTACCACAACTCACGAATCACATTAACTTGGTGGACCGACACATCAAATTTACCAGGGAGGATATGAAAAGTGGCAGGTTAGCCTTCTTAGACTGTGAGATTTCCATCAGTAATGGGGAACATCTAAAAGCTGAAACCTACGCATACAGATCAGTATTTAAGGTTTGACGCTCATCATCCACTGGAGCATAAACTGGTTGTCATCAGGACGCCAACACCATCCCCACAGACACAGCGGACAGGGAAGCAGAAGAACATCACATCAAGAAGGCCCTGAGTAAATGGGGTTATCCCAGCTGGACTTTTGTCAAAGCTGGAAAGGCGCCTAAAGAAAGTTCCAGCCGATCCAGGAGAGAAGGACAACCGCTGACTAAGCAAAAACCTGTAGCGATCCCATGTGTCAGGAGTTGAGACACATTTTTTCTAAACATCGTGTCTCTGTGGCTTTTAAACCCCAAAACATGCTGCGCCAAAAATTGGTCCACCCCAAGGATCTGGTCGCTCGACACAAACAGAGTAACATAGTGTACGCTGTTAAGTGCCAGGAGGATTGCCAGGATTTATACATCAGGGAAACCAAACAACCTTTGGCAAAGCGGATGGCACAACACAGAAGAGCCACCTCATTAGACCAGGACTGCAGTATTCCTACCTACAGGGTGGACACTCTTTCAATGATGAGGATGTACACATCCTGGAAAGGGAAGAACGCTGGTTTGAGCGCAGAGTCAATGAGGCCATTTACATGAAAAGGGAAAGACCATCTCTGAATAGAGGAGGGTGCTTAAGGGTACATCTTTCGCCATCTTATAATGCTGTGATTGCAGCCATTCCCCAACTCTGTGTGAATGGTACTCATGGCCATTGATCAGTGATCTTTGATCAGTGGTTGTTGATCAATGGTCATGAGAATTTGCATAATCAAGATGAAGGAACTGACCTCCCAGTCCATTTTTCCTTCAGTGGGCTGGTTTCAGTGATTATGCAAATGTACTAGTTACAGTATAAGATTGGGGAAACTTGCAGTCAGTTGAGACTGAAGAAGTCACTTGGATGAGTGACAAAACGTTTCTCCCACTGAAAACGCTACATCCACATGAACAGAATCAACTTTTGGAGATTTACTTACCTGGATGATTGAGAATGCATCAAGACATCTCTGCAATCTATATAACCAGCTTATTTCACAGAAGCTAAATTCCTTTATCAAAATTTGTTTACCTCACCAATGAATAAACAAAAGACAAATGGAAAAAACTGGTGTTAAAACAACTTTAAATTTGTAAACTCACCATCTGTTTCTGGAAGTTCCCTGTATCCAACATCATTCTTGTCTACAGGTACAACAATGCCCGCGCCGTGGAATGTCTTTGTTACGACCTATAGTGTGTAAAAAGTTTTCAAGCATCAACTTTAAGAACACTTTTTTTTTTCATATCTATACATTTAATGCTTTTCAAGCAGCATTACTGTCTTGTAAATGTGGAACAGTCAGAGCTACCAGAACTTTTTCTGTAAATGAAATTGGACTTGATCTTTTATTAAGATGTCTCGAGGATTAAATGTGTACATCAATGTCTTTAAAGAAGAAAGTGCAGTTTCACTCATCCGGTCCACTTAAGATCAAAGTCGGCTATATGCGACCCTAAATGCAAAATGAGTTTGACATCCCTGATTTAATGGGTATTACAAGAGAGGTCTTGGTAATTTTTTTTGTTGGCGTGTCCATTTTACCTTCTTGTCTCTCTGCTTCATGTCTTTGGTCTTCTGCTCCAGAGAAAAGCCCAGAGTCTGTGCTTTGTCTCTCAGCTTTGCCTCCAAGGTTTCCAATGCCTCATCCCCAGTTTTCTTACTGCCCCTATCTTTCCTCTTCCTCAGCAGATACAGGCTGATGGAAGTAAGAACAGCAAATTACAAGACAAAAAGAAGTGATGACAGAAAATTTCATGCAGTAATGTACCTCCACTCTCACACATGAAATAAAAGGAGGAAGGACAAGAGGGCATATTATGAAAAGTTAAGGATCACCCAATTTGACTGTTTATTTCTGTAAGCATCAAGTTATTGATGGAATTTTAAGTGGCCAACAAACAAATAAACCACAACATTAAAGCCACCACTTTAATACTCTACAATTTCCCCTTGTGCTGAGACCACACCTCAGTGGGTCAGAGCTGTTGAGGGGTGGACTCAACACAAGACCTCAGAAGGCGTTTTGTGGTATCAAGCATCAACAGATTAGCACGACTTCCTTTAAGTCTCCATGCACTCGAGTTTTTTCCCAACACATTCAGATGCTCAATCAGGCAGACACAGAAACTCAGCAAGTCAACTTAAAACCTTAAAGCTTTTTTCATATTCCTCAAAACATTCCTGAACAGTTTTTGCAGTTAAATGTGGTGCATTATTCTACTATTGTTCCCATGAAAGTTTATTTGTGGTCTGAAGGTTTAGGTGGGTGATATGCATCAAAATAACAACATCCACATAAATACACTTTTAGTAATGTAAGAGTTCAGCAAAGGTACCCTGACTGATCTACAGCTACAAAACCCAAACACAACAGGATGCAACGCACTGATGATTCTTTCCACTTTCTGATAGTGCTGGATGATAAAACGATTACAATATTATTTCGAGAAAATTTTTTTTTAAGACCATGATAATAAATGTAGGCTTTACAATTTGATCAGACAGACAATACAAGTAGCTTGTTTAATAATAATAAATAAATAATAGCTTGTTTATATTATGCTAACGTAGCTGTGTCGCTAGCGGTCACACAGCACATCATTATATACCAGCTAGCCCAACTTCAGTAACCCTACAAACGTTACTGCTGTTTAGTTTTCTGTCTTCATTTATGCTGGAAGTGATAACAGAGCTGTACGTTTTAATTTGTTTCCAAAACCCCGCAGTCAGGACATGCTATATTGTATTTAGATAGAAGCTAGCGAGCTAACTCCCTGCTAACTTCTAACTCCTTTAAATGTCATAAATTCCGTTTTCATGGATGCCTGGATGTTAAACTCAATAGTTACACCTGGTAGAGCAGAACGCTGATCATTTTATTAAAGATGAAAGACTTTAGACAGTTTTTCAACTCTCAGTAATGCCATAGTGATCGTTTGATATATGGACCTGCAGCGGAGTTTAGACCCAGACACGGCTAGTGACGTCAGACTGAACAACCGGATAGCCTATCAGACAGTATTGTAGGGTTGGCATAACGCCACAGCAGTCAATCATAGTCAAATCAAATTCAAATTCAAATTCAAATTTTATTTGTCACGTACACAGTCATACACAGTACGATATGTAGTGAAATGCTTGGACAACTGCTCGTGACCTAAAGAAAACAAAAAAAGGAAAGGCTATGAATAAGATAGGAAATAAATATGAAAAATTAAAAAGGGTAAATTTAACTAGGAAGGAATAAAATATAAATTAAGGTTAAAAATGAAATAACTGTACAACACAAATTAGAATGAAGGGTAAATTTAACTGGGAAGAATAAGATAAAATATATAAATTAAAGTTGAAAATAAAATAACTGTACAACAAAATACACAATACACAATATAGAACTATATAAGAATGTATGAAGAAATCTAAATATAAATAAATATATACACAATAACAGCAGCTGTACAAGTATTAACTGGAAATGAAGAATATAGTGACCAGTGTTGTGCAAAAACAATGTCCAGAAAGTCCAGTGTGTGTGTAAGAACCATATGTGTGGGTCAGTACTGTGTGGTGGTGTGATTGAGAGACCGTATCGCCTGCGGGAAGAAGCTCCTCCTCAGTCTCTCTGTGTTGGTCTTCAGGGAGCGGAATCGCTTTCCTGACCTCAACAGAGAGAACAGTCCGTTGTTGGGATGGCTGAGGTCCTTCGCGATCTTCCTGGCCTTGGTCCGGCACCGCCGGCTGTAGATTGAGTGCAGGTCAGGGAGCTCGGAGCGGATGGTGCGCTCAGCTGACCGCACAACCCTCTGTAGAGCTCGTCTGTCCTGCATGGTGCTGTTCCCGAACCAGGTTAAGATGTTTCCCGCCAGGATGCTCTCTATGGTGCACGAGTAAAAGTTCCTGAGCACCTTGGAGGGCAGTTGGAAGTCTCTCAAGCGTCTGAGGTGGTAGAGACGCTGTTGGGCCTTTTTCACCACGGTGTTGATGTGACAGGACCATGACAGGTCCTGCGTGATGTGAACTCCGAGGTATTTGAAGCTGTCCACTCTCTCCACTGGGCACTCGTTGATGACGGGGGTCTGGTAGTTCCTCTCCTGCTTAGTGCTGAAGTCCACTATCAGCTCCTTTGTCTTACTGACGTTTAGAAGGAGGTTGTTCCTCTGACACCAGTTCTCCAGATTCCTAATCTCCTTCACGTAGGCCGTCTCGTTGTTATCAGAGATCAGGCCCACCACGACGGTGTCGTCAGCAAACTTGATGATGGTGGTGGAGCTGGTAGTGGCCACACAGTCATATGTGTACAAAGAGTACAGCAGGGGGCTCAGAACACACCCCTGGGGGGCTCCAGTGCTGAGAGTGGTGGAGGCTGAGACATGTCCGCCCATCCTTACTGCCTGTGGTCTGCCAGTTAGGAAGTTGGAGATCCACTGACACAGATGAGCTGAGTCCCAGATGCTCCAGCTTGGTGGTGAGTGTGGAGGGAATTATGGTATTAAATGCAGAGCTGTAGTCTATGAAGAGCATTTTAACATAATTCCCCCTTCTAGTGTCCAAGTGAGTGAGTGATGTGTGGAGGAGATGAGAGATGGCATCGTCTGTGGAACGATTTGGACGGTAAGCGAACTGTAATGGGTCCAGTGTGACTGGTAGTGAAGAAATGATGAAGTCTCTGACCAGGCGTTCAAAACACTTCATCACTACTGAGGTGACGGCTACAGGGCGATAGTCATTGAGAGAAGCAGGGTGGGGTTTCTTCGGGACAGGAACAATGATGGACTCTTTGAAGCATGTGGGGATCACCGACTGAGATAAAGAGATGTTGAATATCTCAGTGAACACAGGAGCTAGCTGGTATGCGCAGTCTCTTAGGATACGACCTGGGATGCAGTCTGGTCCTGCTGCTTTCCTGGTGTTCACTCTCTTGAAGGCTCTCCTTACTTCATGCTCGGAGATGACGAGCACGTTTCCGGTGCTGGCAGTATCTTCCTGTCTGCAGCCGTTAGCACCGCTAACACTAGCATTGTTGGAGACCTTAGCTGCAGCCTCGAAGCGAGCATAGAAAGTGTTCAGCTCGTCTGCCAAAGTCACGGCCGCGTTCGTCATACCGGTTGTTGGTGCTTTATAGTCCGTTATTGTCCTTAGTCCCCGCCACAGGCTCCTAGAGTCACTCTGTTGGAGTTGTGACTCTAGTTTCCTCCCGTAGCGCTGCTTCGCCTCTTTCACCGCCCTCCGCACGTTATATGACGCGGCTTTGTACGGGTCCATGTCCCCGTCATGAGTCCCGTGTTGTAGGCAGCGGTGCAGGATCTCAGAGCGTCGCGGATGGTTTTATCCACCCACGGCTTCTGGTTGGGAAACGTTGTGATAGTCTTTGTCTCCACGGTATCATCCGCTAGTTTCCCGATGAATCCCACAACCGCTTCCGTAAACACGTTGACGTCATCGTCGGAGCTGTTTCTGAACATGCCCCAGTCTGCGTCATCGAGTGCGTCCTGTAACGCGGCCACCGATTGATCTGTCCAGCGCGCGACCTTCCTCTAAACCGGAACTTCCTGTTTCAGCCTTTGTTTGTATTTTGGCATGAGGAAGATGGCGGCGTGATCAGATTTGCCAAACGGGGGGCGGGATTGTGCCTTGTAGCCGTCCTTGACCGTAGTGTAGCAGTGGTCCAGTGTCCTTTCACCCCTGGTGGGGCAGGTGATGTGTTGATAAAAGTTCGGCGCTGCGCGTTTGAGGTTGGCGCTATTAAAATCCCCCGTCACAATAAGCGCAGCATCCCGGTGTTGTGTCTGGTGCTGTGTGAGTGCCTCATGCAGCTCGCATAAGGCGGTGACCGTGTCCGCTTGTGGTGGAATATAAACGGCACTTACAATGACCGATGTAAATTCCCGAGGTAGATAAAAAGGACGACACATGATGGACAGTAGTTCCAGATTTGGTGTGCAGGAGCGTGTGAGAGGAACAACGTTCGCACTGTTGCACCAGTTGTTGTTCACCATTAAACACACGCCGCCTCCCCTTGACTTCCCCGAGTCCTGTGTCCTGTCCATGCGGTGAACCGAGAAGAACTCGGCCGGCTGGATGGCGTGGTCCGGCACCGCTGGGTTCAGCCATGTCTCGGTGAAGCAGAGGAGATTGCAGTCCCGAATGTCTCTCTGGAACTTTATCCTGGCCCTGAGGTCGTCAAGCTTGTTCTCCAGTGACTGGACGTTGGCGAGCAGGATGCTAGGCAGAGGTGTGCGGTGTGCACGAGCTCTCAGCCTGTTCCTGACGCCGGCTCGCTTCCCTCTAGGCCGCCGCCGCTTCCCTTTGTTCTCCCTCGAGATCTCACTCGGCCAGCTCGGATCCGGAGTTAAAAACTTCGAATTGTGAGTACATTGTATACCAATAGAAACAAGAGTGTCACTGTCATACCTAATGTACCCAATGGTGATGATTTTGCCGATTTAGAAACGCTGAAAACTAACTTAAAAAACAAAGACAAAGAAAAAGTGGTCGGAGCAGTCGTGACGGCAGCCGACCTCACCGGCGCCATCTTAATCACTCACTGATGTCAGACTGAACAACCGGATAGCCTATCAGACAGTATTGTAGGGTTGGCATAACGCCACAGCAGTCAATCATAGTCAACATGTTGCCCATTCCCTCAGAAGACGAAAAAAATAATGTAAACATTACTTGCAAGGACTTGTGAAAAACATGTCAGGCAACTAAGATGTCCTTGTGAGCAGTAAATAAAGACGACGATTGTACCGCATTTTGATCCGGGACGTAATCTGCATGAAAACAAGCGCTCAGTCTTCCTGCTCAACAAATGACAAGGGCGGAGCCTTATACCACGTGATACAGAAGCTGGCTGCTAAAATTAGCAGGGAAAAAACAACGGAGAGCACATGAGAAAGTGACAGGAGAAAATCCGTCCCGGTCAACCACCCAAAAATCAATAACGGGAACCTTATACAGCGCTTCACGTCGAACTCCCGCAGGCACAAAGAAATTACGGAGGCTATCACTTATCACCTGACCAAAGATATGGCTCCCATCAACACTGTGCAAAACGAGGGATTTAGGAAAATGATCAACACCCTAGACAAACGCTACACAGTGCCGTCCTGCAACTATTTTTCTATTGTTGCACTACCTGCTCTATACCAGTGTTGCCAACTCCTCAGTAAGGAAAGTCGCTATTGGCTGTCCTAAAAGTCGCTAGAAGTCGTTAAATGACGTCATCGCCTAATTTGCATAATTGGTCATGCTAATATAACTGTAACCTACGTTGTTGGAGAGAGAAATAACATCATGGAAGAGACATAAAGTGAGTAAAGAATGTTCTAAATGCATTTAGAATTTATTTATAACTACAAATTAAATTTATTTTAGCAATTATTGTTTTTTTTTTAATGTCACAATTCCAACCCTGTTCCTTTATCCGGGCTTGTACCGGCAAAAGTGACCCGAAATAGGCACTCTGGTGGAGTTACTGTGTGTGTGTGTGTGTGTGTGTGTGTGTGTGTGTGTGTGTGTGTATAAGTAGTTTTAAACCTCGTGATCCACAAAAAAGCACAACAGTAAAAGAAGAACTGACTGCTTACAGTCAGTGCGAGAGCAGCGGCTTCGCTCATGCGCTATTCATTTGCAGTTCGGACGCACAGGTGTGAACATCTTCTGCCCTGATAGAAGCTGGGGGGGACTATTCTCCGCCCGTGAGCGCTTTGGAACGGGTGAGATGCCCACGGCAGCACCCGCTGCTTGTTGAGAGTAAAAGCGATACGCGCTTTCACTTCAAAAAGTCGTCATAAATAGGTCTCCAATAACACCAGAAAAAGTCGCCAGATTTGTCGCTAGTCGCTTTTTAGAAAAAAAGTCGCCAAGGGGGTCTGAAAACTCGCTAAATATAGCGACAAAGTCGCTAATGCTGGGCTTACACTGTGCGATTTTTGGCCCATTTTGAGCAGATTTTTGAGTCGTGTGACCGTTTTGGCGATCGGCCCGATTTTGGCCTTCATCGTGCGTCGTGCATCGTGTAGTATACGTGGGGTAACGAGAAGCGATTGACACCTCACGACCAGCTCCCGATCATCAATCGCTTGGTCGAGAGGATTTCAAACCTGTTTGAAATCCTCGCGACCATCGTGAGGGTGTCACCGCAGTTTCTCACACTGCGCACGCGCAAACACAAATGTCAGCGAAAAAGACGGCGCAGCACGGCAGTGCAGCGTGTGATCTGGACACAAGCGATGGAGGCACAACTTGTAGAACTATGGCAAGCTCATCCGAGCCTTTTCGATGTGGCCTCACAAAATTATCACGACCACAACAACCGTGAAAATAGTTGGATCTACACTGCTGCTCAATCACAGCTGCCTGGTCAATGTTTTTCATTAGCAATTTAGCAAAGTTGATGGTGGTGGTGTGCGTGTCTGTGTGAGTGAAAGACAGAGAGAGAGAGCGAGCAACAGAATTTCTCTTATAACCTTCATTTTATGGAGGCACAGTGTGAGCACTCGGGTCGCATCAGAGCATCGGGCCGTATAGTGTGAGACCCTGCATCGTGACCTATGAACCTCTAACCCCTGCGAGTCAACCGTACAGTTTGAGCAGGAGCTGAATCGCGCGACTGAAAAAAATCGCAGTGTCTGCCCAGCTTAAGTTGGCAACACTGCTCTATACACGCAGTGTCGAGCAACGGTGGAGACGGAATTTCAAGCAGTACAACATTTTGCAGCAACAACAAAATGTGAGACATTTGTTGTTTTTATGTTTATTTATTGTTTTTATGTTCAGTCTCAACTGTTGCGAAGTTGATGTGCAGTTAATAAGTGCAATAAATATTTATACTGGAAAAGAAAATCGTGAGATAATCGTGATCTCAATTCTAAGCCAAAATAATCGTGATTCTCATTTTATGCAAAATCGTGCAGCCCTAAATAATACCATTCAAACAAGCATGATGGAATAGTGGAAAGTCCACGCAACAGGTTTTCCTACAAAGAGTCTTCTTGCTTAGCGTTAAATCTGTATCCCTGCCATCAGTTCACCAGAAACTGAAATTGTTCAGTAAAGAAAAAAAAAATTTGTGATCGTTTTTTTTTTTTTTAATCCATATTGCCCAGATCTACCTTCCAGTACAGCTGATACTAAGCTCTTCCTGATTTTCCTGAACATAAAAAAACAGTTTTCATTTCTCCTGCTTTGGAGGCTGTGACCTTGTTGCTTTTTCAGCATTTGTCCCCCTTCAGATCACTTTTAGAACCTGTTAAACAGTACATACCTAAACACTACATTTAAAAAAACAAAACAGTTTATTGTGAAATGTGATGTGGGAAATAAAATCACCACCATCAGTGGTCACTAATGCACAAGGACTTTTTTTGTTCTTGTGCCAAGAATTTGTTTCTTAAGCTGGAAGTTGGATTATATAAAGTGATATAAGGTGAGTTTGTGGTGGTTAACACTCACTGGACTGCAGCAAACACGTTGTCCCCCATCTGTGTTATAGTACAGCCCTTCTTGGCTTCATTTTCCCCAACAAACGAAGGGAGGGAGTCTGGAGTATCTCTGGCGGAACAATGAAATTCAGTAAAACAAAGCAACAACAAAATCAGAACCACTTGTGCTCATGTACATATTGTTATCACTATTTTCATATTATTACACACGATGCTCTCTATCTTCTCGGTAGGGCAAATGTTGGAAGCAGCCTTTGGTGGAAGCTACAAGATTCTAATAAAAGCCGATAGTCACACACTTCAGATCTTATGTTCTATACCTGTAGTAACCAATGTGATGCTGGCTGTTCTCACACCCTGCGAGTATGGTCTGAAACTCTGGTGGGTCATAAAAATATCGCCAGTGAAGGTGGAAGTTCGGCTGGGAATTCTTGGAGTTTTTGTGAGCTCCTGCCAAAATATCAAATGGTCCAACTAGCTGCAATCCCAGCGAGTCTTTCAGAGCACCTACAGAGAGTGACAATATATTGATACAGAAACGAGCTGACACAGAAGCATTACTTAAGTGCAAATTATTGATGAAATATTTTACTAAATAGACACACTGTTTTGTAGCACATATCTTATACACCACATAAGTATCTGAGATGGAGATTTTTCACTTAATGATAAAATGAATCATCTGCACTGCTCAAAAAAACCTTGATAAATGAAATAAACTTAAATCTGAGAACAAAACAACACTCAGTGGAAACAAATCATCCACTGTTTTAGGGCTGGATTCAAAAATAACAAAAAAAAAAAAAATCAAAGATAAAATTGTTCAGGTGTTCAGTATATTTGACATTTTATAGATGAAATGATCATTGACTGTCAGCTGCTGTACTCTACTGCAGTGTGTACACTACCACTCACCGCAGCACCTTCAAGAACATCTGCTTTTAGCTAGCTGTTACACTGGCCTTTAAAGCACCGTACAGTACTACAGTATTACAGACGTGATGCTTCTGTCTTCTACTGTGTCATCTGTTTCACACCTGTATTACAGCTCCTAAGTTCATTACAACGATTGAGCATCTAATAGCTAAAAAACAGGTTCTGAATTTCATGTTTAAGTATAATAGGAGATCTGTTCATTTTGAAGTCCTTAACCACCGACTGTCACGTGGAATTTTTTTTTGCTTTGAATTACCTCGTCTTTAATGTTCTATTAGACTGAAATACTAAGCAGTATTAAATTCAGCGGTTCCACCCTATGAAGTCTAGTACCACATCATCATACCACAGGGGTTGTCAGTGCAAAGCTCGCTGCAGAATTCCCAGAAGTGGTACAGATCTTCTGGCATTTGAAAACTGTATAACTGCATCAGCTCATCACGTTGCTCCGATTTCACTCCCGATGGCAGCACATCATTGGATTCTTCACTTCGAGCTTTCTTCACCTCTCCATTATTTGTGCCTTTTTCCTAAAGACATGAAAAGCAGGGGAACTCCTCAGCAATACTGCATAGTAAGTTGCCTATTTATGTATTATATCAAGCTCCAAATATCTCATTTTGATTCAGCAGGTTGACAGTAAAACATATCGTGGATACATTGAACCAACCACTATATTATTATAAAAAGAAGCCATCCATCCCAAAAAAAAAAAAATATCGATAAAGGTTATTCAAAACACTTCTATAATAATCATTGAGCATCATGGTCTCCACAGAAGTAGGTCAATATTTACTGCGTGAGAAATAATGCATCGACCTCGCATCAGCACTAGTGTACAATAAGTACAGCTGTGTCCACTGCCTTGGACTCTGTACCCTGCAGTGGCGTGTACAATACGAGTAGGGATCGAAATCTTTTCCAATAGTTGCTCGCAACCTTAGCAAAACGATTTTATGGGGCCATTTATTGGTGTTTAATGGATAAAGGCACCAATCAATGAAGACACCCACAGTGCGCTTGCTGATGCCACACTACACAATCAGTGAATGGGAACGACGCACGGATATTTCCTAGCTAGCATAAAGGTCCAGTTATGGTGCAGTGCTTTCCATTTAATCAAAGCCCAAGACCCCATTCAGGTATGTGCTGTTAGCATCGCTGAACAAGCTGCTTTGTGGGACCAGCCTGCAGAGCTGCTGCCATGTTGTCCACTGCTGCTCGGTCAGGCTGCTAAACACTTCTTCACACCGACTTTAACGGCAGCTGCTCTGCTGCACACAGAGCACGGCGTCTCGTTTGGTAAGGCTGCTGTTTTAAACGCATATTCCTGCACCAAACACAGCAGGTCAAAACAAAGCGTATTTACCTGAACGGCTTTGTGTTTTCTTTTTGCGCGCCCTGTCATTTTATCCCTCTTTTTCTCCGTTGAAGTCTTCTTCTGCCAGTCAGCGTCGAGCCGTCCGCAGCAACAGCGCCCTGTTTAAGAGCACCAGTGCCACCCACAGGCCTGGAATGCAAACGTCCATTCCCCTAAATAATCCAGGTAACAATAAAACAACGCTACTACTACTACTACTACTACTACTATTACTACTACTACTACTACTAATAATAATAAATTGGCTTACTATACACTCATCTGCCCCTTTTGCCTCTACAGTTCAGCTAAATAACTACTTACTATTAACAAGGTTATGCAAATCATATCAGAATCAGAATCAGAATCAGAATACTTTATTGATCCCTGGGGGAAATTATTTTTTGTTACAGTGCTCCATTTTAAACCAACATTAAGACAAGACAGACAATACGCTAACTAAGAATAGTACAATATATACATATATATACATACATACATACATAAGTCACTTATAAATAAATATTTGGAAAAGAAACATGTGTAGTTGTAGCAGCAAACAGTGTGTTAAGTGGATGCGTTGTACAGGGAGATGGCCACAGGCAGGAATGATTTCCTGTGTCGTTCAGTGGTGCTTTTTGGTAATCTCAGTCTCTCACTGAACGTGCTCCTGTGACTGACCAACATGTCATGGAGTGGGTGGGAGGTGTTATCCAACATTGTCTTTATCTTGGACAGCATCCGCCTCTCCGACACCACCTTGAGGGAGTCCAGCTCCATCCCCACAACATTGCTGGCCTTACGGATCAGTTTATTAAGTCTGTTGGCATCTGCAACCCTCAGCCTGCTCCCCCAGCATGCAACAGCATAGAGGATCGCACTGGCCACCACAGACTCATAGAAAATCCTCAGCATTTTCTGGCAGATGTTGAAGGACCTCAGTCGCCTCAAAAAATAGAGACGACTCTGGCCCTTCCTGTAAAGTGCTGTGGTGTTTTTAGCCCAGTCCAGTTTATTGTCAATGTGTACTCCAAGGTATTTATAGTCCTCCACAATGTCAACACTGACCCCCTGGATTGAAACAGGGGTCAAGTGTTTCCTGGTCTTCCTGAAGTCCACGATCAGTTCCTTGGTCTTTGCCACGTTGAGCTGCAGATGATTCTGCTCACACCACGTGACAAAGGAGTCGACCACAGCCCGGTACTCTGTCTCATCATCCCTGCTGATGCATCCAACCACCGCAGAGTCATCAGAAAACTTCTGAAGATGGCAGGTCTCTGTGCAGTGGCTGAAGTCTGTGGTGTAGAGGGTGAAGAGGAAGGGGGAGAGGACAGTCCCCTGTGGTGCCCCTGTGTTGCTAATCACCTTGTCAGACACACACTGTGGGAGACGTACATATTGTGGTCTTCCTGTCAGGTAATCAACAATCCAGGACACCAGAGAAGCATCCACCTGCATCGCTGCTAACTTATCACCCAGGAGGGTCGGCCTGATGGTGTTGAAAGCACTGGAAAAGTCAAAAAACATGACCCTCACAGTGCTCGCCGGCTGGTCCAGATGGGTGTAGACACGATTGAGCAGGTAGATGATGGCGTCCTCTGTTCCGAGACGAGGCTGATAAGCGAACTGAAGGGGATCCAGATGTGGTCTTACTATGGGTCGCAGCTGGTCCAGGATGAGCCTTTCCAGGGTCTTCATGATGTGGGAGGTCAGTGCCACGGGCCTGTAATCCTGGGGGCCACTGGGACGAGGCGTCTTTGGTACAGGGACGAGGCATGATGTCTTCCACATCACCGGGACCCTCTGCAGACTCAGACTCAGCATAAACAGTTTATGAAAGACTCCACACAGCTGGGGGGCACAGGTCTTGAGGACAAGGGGACTCAGTCCGTCTGGTCCAGCAGACTTGCCTGAGTGAAGTCTCCTCATTTGCATCTCAACCTGGTATTGAGTGAAGGTGATGGGTGGGGGAGGGGTGTCAGGAATCTCACAGGAGGCAACATGTGAAGAGAGAGGCTGGCACAGTGGTGTGGTCTGGATTCCAGGCTGACTGCAGGTGAGGTTGTGGGGGTGGGAGCAGACACTGTGGTGTCGAATCTATTGAAAAACAGATTCAACTCGTCGGCTCTATTCTCACCTCCCTCAGCTCCCCTGCTGTTGGTTGGCCTGAATCCAGTGATGGTCTTCATGCCCCTCCACACCTCTCTCATGCTGTTCTGCTGGAGTTTCCACTCCAGCTTCCTCCTGTAATTGTCCTTAGCCTCTCTGATCTTGTCCTTTAGTAACACCTGGACCTTCCTCACCTCCTCTTTGTTGCCCCCTCTGAAAGCCCTCTTCTTGTTGTTGAGGAGGGCTTTGATGTCCTTAGTCACCCACGGCTTGTTATTTGGGTAACAATGAACAGTCTGAGCTGGAACAATGGAGTCGGTGCAGAAAGTTATGTAGTCTGTGATACACTCAGTAAGCCCATTGATGTCCTCGGCGTGAGGCTCACAGAGTGTTTCCCAGTCGGTCACCTCGAAACAGCCCTGTAGTTCCGCTATTGCCTCCTCTGACCACCTCCTAACAGTCCTGGTGGTCACAGGTTCCCTCCTCACAATTGGCACATAGCGGGGGGTGAGGTGAATCATATAGAAGGTATGTGACAATACTTTGAACATTTTAGGCTGGATAATTATTTAAAATGCATGCTGTATATGTGTGGTGAACAATATCTTTATTGCTCAGTTTCAGATGGTGGAAATAACATTAGTTGTTATCAGTTCTGCTAAATTTCAAGATAACCTTGTAAGTCAGAGCCAATAAAGGGGAACAATTAATAGAATTAGCACAGGGTCAAAGTGCTCCAAAGAGCCATTATGGAAAGAAAGTCAAATCAGATAAAAAAAAAATGTAGATGTCAGTAATCTAATAAAATAAATAGTTGAATACAAGTTCACAAAATTGATTATGTTATAGATCACTGTACTAATTTGATGGTATGTGGAAAGGAAGCAGTACATTTAAAATACTTATGCATTTGAAAATCTGGATACAGGTCTTACGAAACTCAGTGTAGCACAGATAAAAATACAAATACAGATATGGTGTGCAAATAATCAAAGTCATTTTTCAGACTTTCAAAGCTTCACTGCTAAATAAACAGATTAATGTAGGCTCAATGTGAAGGCAGAGCAGTCCATCCCCTAACCTAACACTCCATACAGAGAGAACATAAATGTGAATGTAGCTTTTAATGTAAAGTACTTTGAGAAGCTATTTAGTACATCTTTACATACAGTAAATGCATTTAATTTGCTATTATATATGTGGCACAATAAGTTGTTTGCAATACAAGTGCAGGAATAATCATAACCGTGAGGGCCACTGCATAACATATTAACCAGTTTGCTCATCAAAGTTCTGATGTGTGAGCAATAGGTCAGTCTTCACTTAGAAGAATGAAGATAGAACATATGGGCAAGCCTCCTTTTAGCCTCTGAAGCCACGTGTCTTCATCTTCTCTCCAGTCCGCTGTTCATTGGTCTGTCTGTGTCTCTCCCTTAAAGTCTTCATGCAGTGAAGTTTTCATTGTTTTCTTTTTCTTGTTCATCAGCAAGTTGCAGCCAGTTTTCTCTGTTCTTCTTACACCCATTTAGCAAAGGAGAGCAGGAGTCAAACAGTCTCGATACAGTCTGAGGAAGGCAAAGACAGAGATGGGATTGTTGATAGAACAGTGGAAATTACAACTGATCTTAAGGGAACAAGGTGACAACAAGGTGAATTCTGTGATGAAATATATAAGGACACATGCATGCAAGTAGAATATACAGTTATCTACACATTGCTTACACAATACCAATAGTAATAACACACCTTGTAGAGTGGATAGCAGACCTCATCAATGTATTCAACTTGCATATACGGCAGTCGAGTGCTGTTTTCTCTGTTCATTATGTCCTAGTGAAAAGTAAGCATAAAGTGGCTGTTAAAAAGCACTTAAAGCACTTACAGAAGATCAGATAGAATTGTAAAAGTATGCAGTACTTGAATATGAACATTTATATATGAAGATTGATTCAACCCCAAACACTGCAAGCTACATTAAATTTACTTCACTCTGAATGGGGAAAAATGCATCAGAAATACACAACAGGCTTTATAAAGCTTTATGTATTCAAAGATATTGTTATTTTTGTTATAGTGTAGACAGAGTAACAGTAACATTTTATGAAAACCCTTTTTTGAATCTGTGTAAACAAAATAAGAAATTTTTTTAAACCACAGTGACAAAAATGTGAAGATATTCTGAGACATACCAGTGTTTGTGGTTATGTATTTTTTCAAAGAACAGTCTTTGGCACCGTGATACTGTTATACGACAGGGTAGATGCAATTGTAGCGCAACAAGAAATAGGACAACAGCATGCCTTTTAAACTTAAAAACATTTATCATCAGACTGAAACAAGATATTCACAAATGATTGGATTCTTGTTTGATTCCAATCATGAAAAAATAATATTGATTTAAATTCCTTTTTATGTGCGCACACTTTTTTATCCGGATGTGAGTTCCACTCAACATTTTCAGAATCCTTGGCACACTACAAATCCTGCAAGCTCCACTTACAATGGGTTTGATTTTGAACTCTTCCCTCTCTTTGTCCCCCTGTGCAAAGAACTCCATGGCAACCAAACTGGCAATCTGTTAGGCGGAAGAGTGAGGTTAAGGTTGCAGTGAAAAAGGATTGAGAGATGAAGCATGAAGTGTTTTATTTTTCATTCAGAGCTACTTTGTGAGACCTACTCTTTTTTGTTCAGGCCAAGGCTTTGTGATAGCAGAGAGGTCACTGGCTGTCATCAGCATTGACCTGTGGGGTAAAGTAATAGCTTACAACACAGCGCATTCTCTTGGTTTACCGAGCACAACAATATAATATGCCTCTGATTCTAATTTATGTGATTCTCACCTGAGCAAGTCTCTTTGTTTCTCACTTTTCCAGCTCACTCCGCTTTTGTTAGCAAGAGAAAAGAACTCCTTTCTTCTTCTGAAAAAAAAAATTAAAAACAGCCAGAAGAAACATGGGTTAAAATAAGACTGACTTAATGTGTAATCTACGTCTTCTATGACATTTTTAATGTTTCAGACGTACTCCATGTAGACAGTCAGGTCTGTGGCAAGGATTGCCCTTTTGATTAAGTGTAATAGAGCTTTGTGCTCTTCAGCAGACAGACCGCTAAGAATCTGACTGCCCTGGAAGATGAGAGAGAGAAAGAAAGTAAATTAAATTGAAGACTACAAGTTCACACACAGAGATCAAAATAATCTAATTATTTCACAAGTGGAATGATTGCAGAATAATAGATATAGTATATGAGCTTCATTTGAACGTCCTGTTGTGTGCATGCAAACATAACTTATTTCTTGCATCTTACAGTGTTGTTTAGGATGAAGACACACAGGTTGTAGTGGTGGTTCTCAAGAGAGGAGTGTCCATATAACTGAGCTAAAGGCTGATGAGTCCTGAGAGAAAAAAGAAAGAAAGAATCAGGACTGAATATAAGTAGGCAGTGACTAATAAGTGTTATAGATAGTACAAATCAAAATAAATACAAATAATTATGGTCTAGATAATTTAGAGTAAAAATAAGTAATGGAGTAAATGTGAGAGATGAAGAAGTAACATTTACCTTTCTATGAAGGAATTATTAACTCCTCTGTGATCAACATCATGATTCAGAGTGGCTATCATCAACGCTAAGATCTCCAGACGAGAAAAAATGGTCTAACATATGAACAGAAAGAAACAGGTTGTAATAATGAAGAAAATTATTTTTCTGCATTTTATAATTGAATGCTTTATAGGAAAAAAATAATAAGTGAGAAAATAATCATCTGCACATGTATATATTGCACATGTGCTACACAAAATAAAAGAAAGTTTGTATCAATAGGTGGCTCATGTGCTGTCAAAAGTCGATAATAAAAGTTTCTAACAGATAAGATGATAAAGGACCAACCCCAATTGGAGCTGAAGTCTATGGATCCCTACACACGAGTATATGTAAGGGTAAAAAACAGGAAGCAGGAATTTATGGATAGTTGATGATGCAAAATCTCTAAATCATTTTTAATTTTTTTTTTGTATTTTAATTGTATTTAAATAATCTCTAATCTAAAAGAATTAAGTGATAAGACAGTAAAATGTTAGATAGTAATGTCATTTTCTATCTGAACAAATACTGAAAAAAAAGTGTAACTGTAATTCTACTATTCAATGTTTGATGTTAAAGAAATGAAGTACGACAAATGATACTTCCATTTTAGTGTTACTAATACCAGTCAGTGTCTTCATTGAATATCCCACATAATTAAGCTCCAGACTATAACAGATACAAATATGCATAACAGATACAGCTTGGTCCTGGTACAGAGACCCCCAGGGTGGCCATACACCTGGATCTCCAAAAAGCTTAGAACACTGGTGAGTGAATGGCAGAAGTCACTTGAGTTGAGGCGTAGGCATGTGTCTGATTGTTACAGACAGCAGTTAAGAGGTTTTGGCAAGATCTAAAATTAATCCTCTTCCAAACAGTTAAGAGCGCTGAGTATGGAAGGACAACCCTGGCAGTCCTCAACTGACTCCTCCCAAAACTTCTGAGCTACAGGACAGATGAAACTCCGGCGGCATTATGCAAATGTCACAGTGTGACTGTCACATGGACACATAGAATTGATTGTAAATAAAATTATAATAATAGCAACTACAGACCCACTCTGCTTTTACCACAAACTAACCTGGAGTTGGTCTGTTGCCATGAGCATTGCAAACATGCTTTGAGCAGTGCTCACTGCATGGTGCCAGTTGTGGTAGGGCACGTTGTTCCTGTAGCCACGTTTCACAGTCAAAACCCACTGGCAAAGACTCTGGAAGGATGAGATATGTAAAATTGATAAATAATAGAAATTGAGAATATTTAAGGTATTAGGTGATTCTATTGTGCTTTTCTAGTTTGTCAGTAGTGAAATTCCTGTAACTCAAAGAGACATATTGAACTACATATTGTCAAATGTAAGAGCTAATAAGATAACACTAAAATATCCATTATGAACTCATATTCTCCTCTCTCAAAGGTCCTTTTCCCACTAACGTGATTCCTGTTTTGGTGCCTTAGATAAGATGGAGTTAATGAAATGAAAAAAAGACCAATGCCAGTGAAACAAGCTTGAACCACCACAGAACCCCAGGGTTTCACAGTCCTTAACATCAGTAGCTACACAACAGGATTTTACCAAGAAATTCACAGATAACTTGCAGATGCAGCTTGCAGATTTTGACAGAGAAGCTTTTCTTCTTACCAAAATCTCTTTACCCCAACTTTTAAAATGGAACATTGTGAAATGCTTAGTTATTAAACTTTGAATTTTGTGCTTGTTCAAAAGGCACAAACGCCAAACTGGCTTCACACTAACACTGATACAAGCACTATCCTGTATCCTGATTGGAAAAAAGATGTAAAAGAAGCATGATGTGTATGAAAAAGGATTTTTGAATTCATAAATACTTATGAAACAAGCCTATTAATGTCATTTGTTCTCAAACAAACAAACAAACAAACAAACAAACAAACAAACAAACAAACAAACAAACAAACAAACAAACAAACAAACAAACAAACAAACAAACAAACAAAAATTAACTGTTTCCTCATTTATATGATAAAGAAAATGACGCTACTAATAGAAATAGAAGCTGAGCTACCTTGTAGTCTATGTTAAAATCCTGCACCAAATTGAGATCCAGGAACATGCGAATCGTGGATTGTGTTGTCGCGTCTTCTGGCACGCCGAAACCAGAGAAATGGAAGTCTAGAATATTCAGCAATTCAGCAGAAGGAATGGTGGCCTCCTAAAAACACAACCAATAAAAGAAATTGAAATGTACTCTTCAGGACGTTCAAGCACAAACACACACAAACAAAATAGAACTTGAGCTCTTTTCCTCAGTTTACCTAGGTGTGTAAACACAGAAAACCCATCTAGCTTTAACATGGGTGAGGAGGTTACCTTAACCTTTGCACTCACATTCAGTGATAGCAGCTGATCAAGAGCTTTAAGTTGTTAGGGCATTAGTTCTACAATAGCATTAAAGCCTGTAAATCTGGCCTCTTGGAACAAAGCAAGGGTTGATTGCTTGACTACTGCCATAGTGATTAAAAAAATAGGAAGAGTGGAGAAGGAAGGCATTTAACAGAAAGAACAAGGTATATGAAAGAAAAGGGAACAAATGTGTGCGCTATTTACTTTAAATCACTATTTACATGCCCGTTGCCACGCTGTAACAGGGATAAACTGGATAAAAAGAGAAAGGCTGATTTCTTCCAAAGAAAGACTCACCTGCAATGCCTGGATTTCCTGCTCTGCTGCAGTGATGTGGTAGGCAAGGACCTGCACAATTACAATAAACAAAGAAAACTCAGAAACAAAACTTTAAGATTTGTTAATGTATGAATTATTTTTCTGACTCTTCTCTAACTTACTAATTGGGCGAGATAGTGTTCTCACCTCCTGTGTGACCTCTATACTGGCCCTCCGCTCCTCAGTGATCTGGACTGCCTGAGCATACTGTAGAGCCAGGCCACAATACACTGCCAGGTCTTCCAGAAGGCGCTCGTCATATCGGTTAAAGACTTCCATTTCATCTGAGGCTCTGCTTTGTTTGTTCATCAGCTGGCACACAGCTAAATGACATTAAAAGACAGATGGTTGTGTAGCTTGAGCACAAAGTTCTTCAAATTATGTTTTTGTTTTTAACACATAGTCTAGTTGCTTTCTGTGGTAAAGCTGAGATGGGCAACTTGTTTTTGGAATCACTGGGAAAAAAAATCACAATAATAATCTCAGCATCTAAATATTCAAGTGGCTAGAAAAGATAACTGGATTAAAAACTGAAACAATTTTATAAAATGTCCAGATCTGGTCTTCTCAGAGCAGATCACAGTAAGTAGTATAAAGACTGAAAAGGTCTAAACAGTAAGTAAGGATTTCTAGCTGTGAAAGGTCACTGCAAATCATCTGTGAAACCTATTATTTTATATTATTTGATACTATTTTATTTTCTATTTTAATAAGAGAGCTTTGTATGCTGTGCTTCATTTGTGCTTGTCTGGTAACAGAGGTGTGAAAGATTTATTTTCAAATTCTATCCTGTTTACAATGTTTACTGCCATTCAAGAAAAGAACTTACCGATAACATTTTCAGATCTCTCATTTCTAACTGGGCAGCAGATGAGACTCCTTTTCAGTTCATCAGAACTCTTCGACATATTAAGTGTTTCCATAGAAGTCAGGGTTCGAAAGGCATATGACGGATCTATATTCCTGAGGTCACGCTCCCTGAAAAATTATACTTTCAAATTACAAAACCCCCCAAATATCCCATATTTGTTTTAAAAGTAAATCACACTCAAGGACTTGCAAAGTCTCCGGACAATACCTTCTGTAGATCTGGCAGGTTGATCCGAGCTCCTCACATTCCAAATGTATAACTCTTGAGAATAAAGTCTGTAATCAAAAGACAAAAATGAAAAACAAAACAAAACAAAACAAAGAAAAATGAAAACATTGTGTATGGCTAAAAATATTGTACTATATTCTAAACAGACAAAGTAATGGAAAACAAGGAAATTGAGCAGGATGTCAAGATAATGTACCTTTTCTTCAGTGTCTGAAGTTTGCTCACTGGGGATAAAGATGGTGCAGTATTGAGCGTGTGTAAAGGGCATGATGGTGGCAGCCATCTTACTCAGCATAACTTCAAGGGAATGGTGCTCCTTTGATAGTACTTGTGCCATCTCTATCAAAGCCTGGACCACACACACACACATATGCATGAAGATATTACTTAGATATACATGTTACAAGGCATAAAACGATTTTAAACTGTTCTCTGGCTTTACCTTACTGCGTTTAGCCTCTTGTCTCGCACCTTCATACAGCTGGACATTATCCAGGACAGTCCCCAACACATCCATGTGATTTGACAACACCTTAAAACAAAATCAAACGCGTATTTATGGGTGGTAAGCATTAAGACAAGGCAAATATCTGACATTATAAATAATGTTTATAATAGAAAAAAATCTCCATACTAAAGTCCAATCCCTCACCTTTTCATCAATGTTTGTGAAAACAGAACGTGATCCATTGCAACTATTTCTTTTGTTGATCATTAGCAGGACACCTAAAACCTGTTCAAAAAAAGAAAACGTTTTATTTACATCCAATCTATATTTAAAATTCTGTTATGACAATGAACAATATGCCACTGAAAAATCCACAGGACATTTACATTAGTTAAAGGTATTTGCAACGGCACACATACCTCTCCCCTATGGTTGCTGATAGGAACACTCAGAACCGTCCTGATCTTTGATGTTTGATCATTGGCTAAGTTGAATCTGGGGTCCTGTTGGGACAAATAAGGAAAACATAAGTGCATGTAAGAGGATCACTGAATATTAATTACTTAACAGCAACATGTTTTAAACATATCCTATCCAACAGTCTTATGTATGTTAGATATTTGTGGCAACTGAGTAGCAACAGACTTTAATACCTAAACTAACTTTAATCTCTTCATAACCCTTTGTTGTTAAGCTATTGGGTCAGCGCTGTTCATCAGCTTTAGCCACATCTGACCAAAAATACCCACACTTCTCAGGATGCTTGGCATCTACCTAGTTATTAGGGACAACCCATGCACACCCACGCTGACTGGGTTTACCTGGTGTTCAACTCTTCCAGGCACACATTCCAAATCACCTTACTTGTGAGGGCAAGAAGAGCTGCTGTGACCACCACCTGTAAGCCTTTTAGACAGCTTTGGCATGAATCTACTTTTGTGGGGGTGTATGTGTGGGCATGTGCGAGGAAAGGACAGTAATCCAAGGTTTATCACTGGAAGCAGTCACTAAAAGGATTAAAAGAAACTGCGTCATCAGGGATTCCCTATCAGGCTTCTTCAAATAGCCATGTCATCATCTCAAAAAAGACTTTCAGGAAATGGGTGACTCATTAAACATGCAGTCCTCATTTCTGATTTTTAATCCCTCGTCTGTGCCCTGGAACATGGGAGTTAAGCTTACATGTACAATCATGACATCAACATTTACCTCAGATGCATCTCTTAGATTTATTGGTGAAGCTGTAGCCATTACGCATCCCATGATCCCTTTTACCAGTTCTAGATGAGCTTGGCTGTATGGGTTTCCCTCATTCAAGTGCCCCAGTGATGTTAGGGCTATCACGTCTTCCAAGCTACTCCTTCCACCACAGTGTTTCCGTACAAGAGAGAGCGAACCACCCTCTGCTCCCAGTAGCTCCCCAACATGGATCACAGTCCCCTGGCAGAGCTCTGCTAAAGAACCCATACAGCTTAGGCCTTCTCCTAGGAGCCCCATCATCCAAGGGCAGCCGTCACCATGGCCACATGATGTGGGTGGAAAAAACTGTGGAGGGTGGGGTAAGCTAGATGAGCAGGGGCAAACGGCAGCTCGTGGTTGACAGGGAGAAAACTGAAAACGGGAACAACGAGGTAAGCAGAGACAGCATGGTGAATGGCTTTCTTTAACATCTGGACCAAAGTGGTCCATCCATTCAGGGACACTGAGATTTGAAGCGAGGCGTCTGTCTGTCAAAGTTAAAACGTTCAGGTCTGAGCTTCTCAATGGGGAAGAATTTCTCCGATAAGGTGCCTTCATGAGCGCCTCGGAATGGTCAGAGCTCCTCCTTTGAAACCTTGACAGAAGTGGGGACATTTCTGTCTGTGGACAACTGACCCTGAAATCATACACAAATTACACGATTTATTTAAAAGCAAAACTAAAATAAAGTACTTAAAATTTGTATAAAAAGTATTAAACGTATATGTGGAAACATAATTTTATCTAATGCAGCTTATATTTTCATTACTAATAAAGTGTTCACCTTTACAAGCGTTTTATTCAACAAAAGTTTGTTAAAAACGTTTTAATCGCACATTATAATTTTGAGGGATCTGAGTAATTTGAGTTTCAGCTAAAACTGTAGAGGTATAAAATGTAAACTCTTACGCTGAGGTTCTGCGTAAAAAGTAAGCCCTTGTGAAGTCGGAGTGGTCATCCAACCATGCGTCCTCTTGGTAGCTTGTCGTACCATCTCCAAACTTCCTGCTATGCAACCTGGACCTTGGACTCCACAGTGGGGAGAAGAACCAGCCCGTGCCTTGCACCATCGGCGAGTCGCTCACGATTCCCCTGCGCATCGACTCCGCGCCAGCGTCCGGAGATGCCCCAGGACTCACACTGCCAGGCTCCATGGACTCTAGCGCTTCAGAGTGAAGGCAGGGCATCCCCTCGCTCAGGTAAATCGAGAAAAGATCGGGTAAACTCAGTTTTTACGCCCAGTGAGCTATCTAAGAGAAACACCTCGAACGCGAGGAGGCAGAAAGTAAGACAGACTAACGACTTGCCAGAGAGCAGAGCATAAAGAGCCCGTGAAAACGATTGCGTCAAGGTAATCCCTTGACCTTTATTTAGCCGATATCCACTAAAGGAACCTGATTAAATGGATTTGCTCTAACCCCCGGCTCGTACATGTTATGAACTCGTCATTTAAATTTAACACCTGTGTCCAAGTGTCCAAAAAAGTAAATATCTTAGAACTAGGAAAACCAACCTATTGTGATATTTATTTGTACAATAACAAAAAAGCACCAACATGTCCTCATTTAAATAGCAAATAATAGGTTAATCCTAATTATTTGGCTTGAAGTACAGAACGAGCAATAAAACCAAGTAAAAAGGACAAAATATGGTTTAATCATCATAAGTACACAACATATTATGTGTTATTCACTTACGTGATGTGGATAAACTATAAATTAACCTTTACGCTTTATATAAAAAAAGCATGATAGGTGATCACATGATCAGCAAATATTTGAGCTTTGCAATTTAGACCTTTAGAATTAAAATAAACAACCAAGAACAACATGAACACAGTCAGATATCATTACAGATATATAGCATTAACTGGACATTAGAAGATTATTTCACACTGTGCTAATATGTTACAAAATAGTACTTTGCCCTCTTAAACAAGAAATAAATTTGAGTAAAATGTAACTGAAATATATAAAATCAAAAGTTTCTTTTATTTAAATAATTAATGATGGAGCAAAATAGGCTTGGTGTAAACTGAATGCCAACTGTATACCAGTCAAGTACATTTCATTTAGCCAGATTCTGTTAAATACATTTATACGTGCAACATAAGTACAACATAACATAAATTGTACTCCTTGCAAAGAAAAGAAAAGAAAAGAAAAGCCGAAGATCATAAAAGCAAGGTGACCAGAACAATGTTTATTTAGTTTTTAGGGAATATCACACAGTGCTGTAATAAGAAAGGGCTTTTCAAACATTCTTTGACTGATATCTTGTTTATCCTTTTCTTATCATGTTTTATTTTCTGGAGACAAATAACTGAAATTGTAGCGACATACCATCAATTGGTGTGTGAGGTTTTAAAAGTTTCTTTTAAAGAATTTTTCTTTCATCTGTTTAAATTGCTCTGCAGTCCTCAATATTATTTTTACTCTGGACAGAAAACTGCATGCTGGTATGTGCCACTCAGTATTTAAGGGCTCCCTCTGTTGGTCTTGGGTACTTCTCATCACCTGCAGTGGGTGGATCCTCCAGTGACAGCTATACTGTGATTGGCTGCTCCAGTAGGAGGCTGCCATGACACATTGGATGCTGCACAGATCCACAGCATCAGCAGGCAACGGACCTCCATCCTCCTCGTTATCCCTCTCTCTTTCTCTTTTTTCTCCTCCTTTGCCTCTCCTCCTCTCACTACTACCCCTGCTCTCTCTTCTCTGTCCCTTCTCCTCCCACTTGGAAAGACACGCAGGCCTGTTTGAGTACACTGCAGCAGAGGTCCATTAACACAACAGCAGCAGGAATAGCAGCAGCAGCGACAGCAGCAGGCGGACTGGTAGGTGTGCTGAGGCCTGTCTCCCTCCTTATTGCAGCACAGGCAAGACATCGCATTCTCCTCTGATCACTGTCAAGGACTATCTTTTTGAGAAGTGTGCGTGCATGTGAGAGCAGGAATCTGGCAAGTAGTCAAAGAGGACTACCACACCCTGGGAACATTATTACCAGTGGTAGGGCTGAATGTAGCAGCTGATATTTTCATTCTCATGCTATGTTCATTATATACTTATTTCTGAGCTTAAACACAAGGATTCATCTTTTGCTTTTCTCTGCTCTAGTTGTTTGTTGCTTTTCCTTCATTCTACAGCACTGTGATTTGATTCAGCACCCACTAGGCCTTGTTCGTCTACACACGTGTCTTTGCTAATGAATGCATTGAATGTCTAACTAAGGTCACATCATTTGCCATGCTGTGCGCACATATTGTCAGCCTACCTAATGACAGCCTTCGTCTTTCCTTTCCAAAGCTGTCTTCATCACCAGCCTCTCCATCCACCGTTCTCTCTTCTGTCCTCCTGCATCTTAATTTCCTCTCACTCCCATTCCTCTTTCCTAAAACCCTGTTCCTCCTTCCCCCGCCCCTTGCATTCCAGTCTCAATCTCTTCGACGTGCCTTTTCTTCTTCCTGCCGGCTGGTTTCCCAGGATGCCTTTTTCCAGGCCGCTCCGTTAGGCCCTACCAGCATGGGCGGAGACTGGGTGGGGAGAGACATTACGGATTGGACCCTTCCCCTCAGGACGGGCGCACTGGCGGGTCACCCTCCCTCAGCTTCAGATGGGCGAGGACGCTGAGAGCCCCAAAATCAACCACACCTTCCTGCGAGACTACGTCACTGAAGGTAGAGCGGACGATGTCTCGCTGCCATCTCTGTGGTGTCAGATAACATACTGGTATAATTGAACAGATTAATTTCAGCTTCCTGCATTGCACAGTAGAAGGAATGTATGATGACACTGCCTGACTCAGCAACAGACACTTTCATAATTTAAATTTTCCTTAGGCATCATAGACATAAATGGTTGATTTATGGTTTAGAGTAACTGAAATAATATGTGATTTTATTAATTTTTCTTTCATTGCCAGCCTTTTCTACATTGTTATGGTCACTTAATCATCTGTGCTTTTTTTGCCATGTCTGCCTAACGTTCTCGCTACTCTATCATTGCTGCGGTTTTCTTTTCTTCTTTCTATACTTTTGTTTAATTGCCTCCAATGTTCCTATCTTCCTTACAGCTGATGTCATCTCTACAGTGGAGTTTAACCAGACAGGGGACCTTCTGGCCACGGGGGACAAAGGTGGCCGGGTGGTCATCTTTCAGAGAGAGACTGAGGTTAGTTTACAATGCAAAACCACCACTTTCTGTACACATGCTTTTTTTTAAAAAAAATAGCTTCGTACACATACTGTAAATGCATGCTGAAAGCCGTGTTTTCCTCACTGTCTGCCCTGGGCAGCCGAAAGGTGAATCAGAGGAGGTGGGCGAGACAGGGGACTCTGGGGAGTACAATGTCTACAGCACGTTTCAGAGCCACGAGCCTGACTTTGACTACCTGAAGAGTGTGGAGATAGAAGAAAAAATTAACAAGATCAGATGGCTGCCACAGCAGAACGCAGCACATTTCCTCCTCTCCACCAATGGTGAGAAATCAGTGACTTCTCAGTCTCTATCAGAACATCATATTGATTGTTGGTTGTGGTAAAATGAAGTACAGGAAGTACTACATGCATATAGGTTTTATCTATCTATCTATCTATCTATCTATCTATCTATCTATCTATCTATCTATCTATCTATCTATCTATCTATCTATCTATCTATCTATCTATCTATCTATCTATCTATCTATCTATCTATCTATCTATCTATCTATCCATATATATACATATATATACATATATATACATATATACATATAGTGAGAGAGAGAGATTTGTTATAAATAGCAGTTGTTTTTGCTTGATATGGCACAGGTATCGCTTACACACTTTGGTTTCAAACTACCTCCAATTTCCAAAATTATGGCAGCCTTGTGTCATCTTTTATTACCTACATAGAATTAAATAACATCAAGATAGTCTTTGGAGTCTCACTTACGGCTGCAATAATGGCACAGAAAAAAAAATCTAAATTTGGTGCATGAATTAAGTATTATGTTTTAAATTAGCTGCAAATGTGATTTTTGTTGTGCTTTGCAATTTTCAATGAATGTAATCATCGTCAAAGGAGCTTGCAAAGAAAAGCGTCTGGACTTCTTTAAGTTCTAGCAACTCAAAGAAGTCCAGACGCTTTTCTTTGCAAGCTCCTTTGACTACGATGACCTGGATGACTGAGAACCTTCACAGACGAATGTAATCATCATTTTCTGGCACGCAAATCCCGATGCCTGTCACAGATAAGACTATTAAACTGTGGAAGGTAAGCGAGAGAGACAAGAGACCAGAAGGATACAACCTGAAAGATGAGGAGGGACGGCTCAAGGACATCTCTACCATCACCTCTCTACAGGTACTCGGACACACACATACAACTGCACACTTTCATTTTGTTGGGTATGCCTGATACAAGTATTTATCAGGCTAACATTTAATCAGCAAATCAAGTGTCTGTCTTTTTGCTCCTGTCCTTAAATGATCCATGGCTCTACTGTCCTCCAATTATGTCCTTTCTCATTGTTGTCTTTCTTTTTGCCCTATGATTTACTCCTCCTGTTCTTATCACCTCCTCCCTTCCGCCTTAAATCTTTTATCTCTCACCATTTAAGGTGCCAGTGCTGAAACCTACAGATCTAATGGTGGAGGTCCGTCCCAGAAGAGTATTCGCTAATGGACATACCTACCATGTCAACTCCATCTCAGTCAACAGCGATGGGGAAACCTACCTGTCTGCTGACGACCTCCGCATCAACATGTGGCACCTGGGCATCACAGACCGCAGTTTCAGTATCCTTACTGTCTTTTTTTTGTATTATAACACACTATTTTCAGTTTAACCAACCATGACCATTTGCTTTAAATAATTCTATAGCTCCTCTCAGACTTTTGTGTGGTGGAAACTCCTTCAATTTTACAGAGAATTCAGCGGTATGAATTAGATCACTGTTCATTGTTAAAGTATAACTGTATCCTTATGGTAATTGTAAAACAGCAATGAGAACAATATACCTAAACAGGTAAAGATTCCTGTCTACACCAAAAGGGAAAAAAAAAGAAAAAGTGCAATATACGTCAGTAAGCTTTTTTTGTGTTTGATTTTATGGTGAAGTGTCCATAAAGGATAAAATCTCATTTTAATTGTGTTAAGGTACACTGTAAAACAATTCATGCTAGTATGTTAGTGTGCATGATTTTAGTTATCAATACTGATCATTATGTATGTAGTTTCCTTACTAAAGAAAAAGAAATTGAGCAGTGTTGGGAACGCATCCCATATGCTTCTAATCTGTGTTTGTATTTCATCCACT